CTAGGTACAGGGTGACTTAAACATAAGGCGTCTTTAGCCAGGGAGGCCGTCCAGCCCAGGCTCCGGTACACAGGAGCCTCTGAGCCCGTAAAACAAGCATGCCCTCACTGCCATTCCATCACCGGGATCTTGGCTGCCTGAGGATGATGGGAGTAGTTTGTAGAGTCCATTGCTGCTCTGCTTCCTGTTAATCGCTGGGGTTGTGGCTGGCTACTGGGGAAGAGAGCAGGCTGTGCTCTCCCCTGGGAGCTGCTCGGGGTACTAGGGAGGGAACAAGCAATACTTCATCACCCCTGGATCCCACTCAGCTCTTTGGGACCGGTACAGGCGGCACCCATTCCCAGGAACCATTGCTCAGGTAGGTAGAGGTCATTTGCCCTCTGCCCGGAGGCCCGCGCCCCCACTGCCATCGTGTGTCTGGGCCCTACGAGGCTGCTAGGGTCCCTAAACAAGGGGCTTCTGGGGCCCTGCAATGCTGCCAGGACCCAGCTTAGGTACCAGAGGTGGGCAGAGGCTATGTGCCCTCTGTATGGAGGCCTGCCCCTTTACACCAAACTCCCTTCCGGACCCTGCAAGATGGCTAGGGTCAGAAACCAGAGGAAGGAGAGAGCAGAGGCTGGCTGCACTCTGCTCTGATGCAGGTGCATCCTTAAGTGAAGGGGTAGTGACTGCTGTAGTCTCACCTGCTATCCGCCGACCAAACCATAAACGGTTGCTGGGGTCAGCCTCATGAAGAGTCGGAGGAGCCAACTCTTCCACTTGCAGTGTGCCCGTGCTGACCAAAGTCTCATCCACGACACCCTCCGTTTCAATGGTTAGCTGCCGCTGGGGAGAGAGGTCGACCACCTCCTCTCTCTGTAGCTTAAACAGCCGCAGGGGAGTGAGACCGGTTGTTTCCACTCCCAATAACTCACTCTGCTGCTGGGGAGTGAGACTGGTTGTTTCCACTCCCAATAACTCACTCTGCTGCTGGGGAGGGAGACTGGTTGCCTTCTCTCCCTGTAACACAATTTGCCGCTGGGGAGTGAGACCGGTTGTCTCCACTCCGAATAACTCATACTGCCTCTAGGGAGTGAAACCGGTTGTCTCCACTCCCTGTAACATACTTTGCCGCTGGGGAGTGAGACGGTTGTCTCCACTTCCAATAACTAACACTGCCACTGGGGAAGAGGGACAATACGCTTCTCTCCCT